GACCCTGACTCGTAGCGACCCCTCCTCCTTGGGTTTCCGAGGCAGTATCACTACAGAAGTAGGATTGCCCAACCTTCCTTCTGAGGAGTGGCTGATGGGTTTGAACCGTCAGCCTTCTGGTTAGCAGTCAAGTGCTTTAGCCACTATGCTACCAGAGCTCCCGTGTGTGTGTGTGTGTGTGTGTGTGTATATATATAGTATGTGTATGTATCATCAGTTGCTTTAAAGCATTTTATTGCTATTCAATATCATTGTTATTGCTGTTGTTATGTGCCGTCTAGTCGGACCTGACTCATAGTGACCCCTCCTGGGTTTCCAAGGCAGTATCACTATGGAAGTAGATTGCCCCATCTTCCTTCCGAGGAGTGGCTGGTGGGTTTGAACCGCCAGCCTCCTAGTTAGCAGTCAAGTGCTTTAAGCACTATGCTACCAGAGCTCCTATTCAATATCATAATCTAGGGAAAAACATCTTGAGATAGAATGATAGTTTTAAGAGGCCATTAAATTGCCACATTCTCCAAATAGTGTGCTTCAACTAGGGAAAATGGCACTGGCAATAATGCCAAAAGCATGAGGTGTACTATAGAAGGAAATTAAGATTCAAATGTAAAGGCAGAAGGGAGTAGTAAGGAAATGGCCTCACTTAATTGTTTAAAAAGCAATATGCTAAGTACTTTCAAGGAGCTCTGGTAGCATAGTGGCTAAAGCACTTGACTGCTAACCAGAAGGCTGGCGGTTCAAACCCACCAGCCAGTCCTCGGAAGGAAGGTTAGGCAATCCTACTTCCATACTGATACTGCCTCGGAAACCCAAGGAGGGGTCGCTATGAGTCGGGGCCGACTCGACGGCACATAACAACAACTAACAAGTACTTTCATGTTGCATTTTACCTCATATATAGTTTCTCCCCAGTGGAATTAGTAAGGGAAATAATTCAGATCTGAAACAGATATGTTATAAACATGAATATGGTATCCAGCTTTACACAGTACTCTGCACTGACTTTTGTAAAATTTTTATGAATCGTTATTAATTAAATTTAGATACCCAGGTTGAAAGAAACAATGACATATGTAGAGCTGTTTTATTTTGAGCAACTCAGCATTAACCTTGACTGCTAACCAGAAGGCTGGCAGTTCAAACCCACCAGCCACTCCTCAGAAGGAAGGTTAGGCAATCTACTTCCATAGTGATACCACCTCGGAAACCCAAGGAGGGGTCGCTATGAGTCAGGTCCGACTCAAGGGCACATAACAACCACCACCACCACCAAAGTATAAGTTTCAGAGACTCAATAATAGATTAATTTGGCAAGGCTTATCTGACTTCACTAGTTCACAATTTACTTCTTCATTCTCTTTTCATTCACAAGTGAAAGGTTAATAACTGGTAGTCAAAGGAAGGTATTTTTGTCAACAAATAATGAATCAACAACCAGCTAATTACAAGAAATTAAGTCATCCTTTGTTCTATGTGGTTAATATTAGCAAAGTTACAGTATTCCTTTTTTAATTTTGCCCATAAAGATAATCATGCTAAGCAAATGTTAAATAAAACCAATACTGTGGTGAAAATTAAATATATAACCTAATTTTATTTTAATAAATAGCTATAATCTGTTTTATTAATTTTGTAATTACTGCAAATTAGTTATGTTCTGACAATCTACTTTGATAAGTAAAATACCATTTTTTAATAACAGTCTGCATTTTAGCCTTTCTTCTGAAGAATAAAATACAGTAAGGCCCATAACTTCAGATAAAACTTCAGTAGCTGCTGTGGGGGCAATACTTTTCACTTGCTACCAGGATGACAACAGCAATAATAACTATAAGTCATTGACCGCTTAAATATGCCAGACACTGTCATAGGCATTCTACATATATTATCTAACTTAAAATTCACAACCAGAGAGGCTAAGATAAATTAACCCTGTTTACAAATATGAGGAACTTTGGTCCAGAGAAGTTGCATAGTGTGCCCAAAGTGACATGGCTGCTGAGTGTTATTAGGTCCAGGAGGCAGATCCAGCCTGTCTGACTCCAGAGCAAGTGCTGTTAACTGCTACCCTTCTCAACATCCAGCTAATTTAACTTTGCAGAATATCTCGGCATTAGAGCTGCAGCCTTACAGCATCGTATCAGCACCACTTTTTATTTTTTTCACAAGCTAAATAACATTAACTATTATTTTCTGTTTGAAGAATTACTATTAAAAAAAAGGGGGGGGGGACCAGGTTTGCTGGCCCGATAGAGCCTAGTGGAACCACTGAGACTATGGCCCCTAGATGCCCTTCAGGTCTGGAATTAAGCACACGCCTGTGGCTTCCAGCCAAACAATAGACAGACATATGAGTCGAACATTTACCTGAGGTAGATACACTCCTTGGAGAGAACAATCATGGGAGAAAGAAGGGTTGCTTATGCACAGGGAGACAGCTCAAGGGGCAGGAGTGCATGAAGGGATGGACACAGGGAAGAGGTAACTATCGGGAGGAAGTAGGAGGGGAGCTGTTGCATTGTGGTAAATTGTGGTCAATGTCATGAGACAAAGTGTATGTGAAGTGCTGTATGGAAAGTGTATTTGCTCTGTAAATTTTCACCCAAATCACAATAAAAAGAAAAAAAAATTACTATTAAAAATACAATCGAATCTGGGCTAGGAATTTATAGTGACTCAAAAATTATTTGTGGGATTGCAGAAATGTTTCTTGGATAAAAAGTGGTCAACAAAAATGACTCAAATTGGTTTCTTCCATTTTTGTTCATCTGATTTCTTCAGAGCCAAGTATGCCTCCTTCTTCATCTGCCTTCCTGAACTTTAAAACTTGAAAAACATTTCTTTAAAATAGCTGGTAAATACTGTCCAGTGTTTTAAAAAAGGAACAGTGCTTTTTGTAAGCACAGCACATGAATGAGAATTATAGATTCTTAACATATTACAACAAAATACCCAACGTCAAGTCATGTCTGAAGCATAGAAAAGAAATAGCAAATTCCCAAGTCAGGCTTCTTGTTACGTTCTTGTGGTAGAATATGATTGTTTGTTAAGACTTTATACAGAAAAATATGGTTGTTTAGAGTTGGGCTATGACATCAGCTGGCCTAGATGAATCTCTGGACTGTAGGATTTATTAGCTAGGTAGCCATAAGCAAGTTACTTAACTTCTCTAAGCCTATTTTCTCATCTTGAAAGTAGAGAGACTACCTAGCTTAGAGACTTCTTATGAAGATTAAGGCAATGCCTAAGAAACATTTAACATGGTGCCCGGGACATAAAAATGTACTTCAAGTGCCAACCTATACATACTGGATGACATTAGGTCCTCGCTCTGAAATTTACATATGCTTGTGAAACATCAAAATCTTTTTCAGTTAATCATAGGTATTCATGATTTGAAACAAGAGAAATAAAAACACTTTTATGAAAACAAAGTTTACTTTTAAAAAACTGTAAATTGTTCTTAATAACAGATTTTGGCTGCAGTGATGCACTGTGGGGGCAAGGCTGGGTAGGCAAAGAGAAATGGGGCTTAGGCAGCAAGCAAGGACTAGGAGTGACAGACTATAAAACTGGAAGGATTGAGAGTGTGGATATCCTAGTGCTGAAGAGCAAATATAGTGGGAGAAAACGCTAGAAGGATTGGTGTAACTTGCTTTAAACTATTTAAGTGATAATCCTCATAAAAATAGAGCTAGGCTTTACAGCCACTCACCTTAACAAAAAAGTAAATAAATAAATAAATACAATCATTTACAAAATAAAACTTTTTCCAATTAAAAAAATTAATACTAAAATGCTTTACAGTTAAGATTAATTATTAAAGTAGAGAGTATTAGATAATCTAAATACAAAAATTTAATTGCTCTAGATTATCTTGAAATGGTCATTTCATTTTAGAAATTCCTACATTTAAAAAATTGTGTGCAGGACATAGTGAGCATGTCATCCACTGGGTTGCAAATGGCCAGGCAGTGGTGTCCAGCTGTTCAAGCCAAGTCATAGGGCAAGGGCAGCTTCAGAGTAAAGAAAGCCGATCAAAAAATGACTGTCAGAAGCTATATAAGACTGTGAAAAATCTCATAAATTTTCTGTCCCTTGTATACTTTAATGAAAAGGGTTCATTTACCACTGAGCAGAAGATGTTGAAGATACACAAACTGAGGGCAAGGGGCAGAAGATAACAATGGATCTTTTCAGAAGAGCTGCCCCCATCGCATCACCTTCTCTTTTGTTTCTGCAGATGGTATTTAAAAATTCTTGACAAGGGATTTTGCCACAGCTCTGTCTGAAGATCAGAGAAGCTTTCTTAGTAAATAACACAAACCCATATATTTTTATTGTTGCATCTTACCTTTTTGTTGCCATTTTAAAGAAAATGATGTGTGTATTATAACTTGATTTTCTTTTTGGTATATGAATTAACAAGGAAAATATTTCAGGTATTTATGTATAAACAGGATTTATCTAACATTTCATTTTCAGAAAACTATGTTATATATATATATACAAAATGATAGATAATTGAAGATAATCTTCAATTGATACTCATGGTATTCTTTTTGCTACAATAAACCATCTTCTAAAGCATATGCTTTAAAACTTGTTTATTTCTTAATATACCTTATGCTCCACATAACATATACACAGGTTGTGCCCTTTGTTCCAAAACTTTTTTTTTTTTTGAGGTGGGGGATTATCACACTTCAGAAATATCATTAATCTGTAACAAGGCCAGCTTCCAGACATTCTGGATAAATAATCTTCTCTACTTGATATATTTATGACATATACAGCTGCCAGTTCAAACCTACCAGCCACTCCTTGGAAGGAAGGTTGGGCAATCCTACTTCTGTAGTGATACTGCCTCGGAAACCCAAGGAGGGGTTGCTATGAGTCGGGCCCGACTCAACGGCACATAAAAACAACACCACCACCTTGATATATTTATGACATATACAAAGTATAATACACACAAAGGCATTAAATTATATCAAATTCTGCCAAAATACATAAAATTATTAGTGTAAAACCAACAAAGAGGCTCCTATAACAGATATTTTTTAAAGTTTGAGACAAAAGCACACATAAATACAACAGTGTGATAGAGAAAGTTATATATTTCATTATATTTTAAACTATTGAAGTAACATTTGAATTTATTTCAGTTGACATAGTGATAGATTGCAAGCATTTACTTTTTGCATTGACATAAATGTCTGAAAACAATGTTTGATCACTTTTCTCATGCACTAAAGTGTAATTATCTCAAAACAGCAAAATTTGGGAATTGTAAGCTTTGTTCCCTGGTTTACAATTTACGAGATTGGATTATAAATTACACTATTATAAATTACTTTAAGTTAAAAGAGCATTTTAAACATTTTTTGCCATCTGCTCTACATTTTCACAAGTCCACCTTTTTGTAGTTCTGTTATAAAAGAAATTTACAGAGTATGTCACAATTCAGAGGATGAATAGAAATTCATCATAACATATACTTTTTCAAAATTCCAGCATTTTATTATAAGCATTAATAGCTTTTCATACTGAAGATTCAGGGATAAAATAATGGACAAAAAACTGGAGTGTACATAACATCACAAAGTATATCTTAAAAATACAGGAATTTTTGCTAATTATTAGACTAGAAAAATATGAAAGGTGGAATTACATCAATCATTTTATGCTTAATCTTTCTGAATGTCCTCTTAGTAGTTACACTGATTTGAAGACTTTTCCTTCCTCTTTAGCACCAAACCATGCTCGCTCATCCTTGTTTAATTAGATTAATTCCAAAAGATAAAACTTCTTAAAGATAAATATGCATTTAGTGCTTTCCACCTGTACCCTTGCTGGACTGGCTGTTTGATGACCGCTCTCGTTCTTTAGTAATTTCCATCTCAATTTTGGCTTTGATTTTTTCCCAATCTATTTGGAGCTATAATCAAAGAAAAGAAGAAACCTGTTTATATAGCATAAGACATTTTTGCTTAATTTAAAATAACCAAGAATGTATGACTTCCAGAACATTAGAGAAGAAGAGGCATCAAAGAAATGTAGATTAAAAAATGCTGCTGAAAAAAATATGAAGTAGCTTCAAGAACAAACCATTACCTCAAAAAGTAAACACTCTCATTGTTATTCAGAAGGGTAGATCTAGTTCAGCTATTTGTAATAGGCACATTTCTTAGATCACATGAATACTAACAACAAAATTATTTTGTAAAATCTTTCTACACTGAATTACATTACTAGTTACATTATTAGTAATTGAGCTGAAGCCTTTTTAATTTTTTCCTCCTTTACTACTCTATTCTCAAAAAAGTTATTGATATAGGTTCACAAATCCTATTCACCACAATACTGTAGCTAAAACACCAGAATTTGACAAAATCAGCAACTATAAAAGCACCAGTAGCAACAAAAACAGGCATGATTATAGCATGTGCAGATGAAACCATATGATTTGAAGCATCATTGTAATTGATAATAAAGAAAAGCTCTGACCAGAGTGCATTAGAAGATTCAAAAAGTAAATTAGCATAGAGTTTTAGCCTTTTTGGTATATTAATACATATAAGCTGGGTTTACAAAAAATGTTTTTGTTGTTAAACTACAGGGATATTTTTATTAAAAACAATAAATTTGTGCTGAAACATGCATAAAAATTTTATAGACAGTCATTCTAGTGTCACCCCCTCTGACAATGTCACCCAGGTGGTCCACACTCCCTACACCTCCTTAGTGACACCATTGTTGGAATCCATCACCCACTTTGTGGGAGAAAGATGAAGCAGTTTCTTTCCATAAAGATTATAGCCTTGAAACCCCACAGGGCAGTTCTACTGTCCTGTTGGGTTGCTATGAGTCAGAATCAACTTGATGGCAATGAGTTTAGTTTGGTTCTGGAGCCTTACGATTCTGCACAGGTGCATATCAGAAGATAAACTGTTCTTCAAACAGGAGCGAAAATGTACAGTGCTCTGGCCACCAAGCCATTTATTAGTTAGGACAGCTCTTCATATCTTATATATTGAGGTTTCCATTAGAAACCTAACTATGGGGAAAGGAGGACCCTTTGCTTTCCCTGAGTACATTCTGCAAAAATGGCTCCTTTGCAATTACTCTTAAGGTAATATAAAAATACAGTGGTTGTTAAGACAATGATGAAAAGACAGAGGAAGCGATGTGAAAGCAAGACTGGGAGACACGTTGAAAAGAATAATTAACAAGTGATATTATTTTTAGTTTGCTGCCCTTCAATCCACAATGCCTATTCCTGCTCCTCTATTCCAGCCCTACCTCTCCTCCAGCCTCAGGCTTGATGTTAAGAATGGACTTTGTCCCTGAAGTCTATGGACAATTTCTTTAGGAAAAAGCATTCTGCGACTGGAAAAGATGTTTGAAGATGACTGCTTTTAAAATGTGTGCCCATTCTGAACAAAGAAAGCCATGGGAAAAATTGGGTTCTAGATTAAACTAACTGATTTACTATTAAATAAATACAGATTCATGAGACTAAGCTAAAAGTGAATAGGTTTCCACTTCCATGTAGGGGAATTAAGTAGAATAAGTAGTTTTAAACCAGACTGAGGTACTACTATGTGCTGCTTGAACAGATTTATCTTAAGTAACTGAGGGCTTAATTCCACCTTAACAGGAATTCGTACCTCTTTTATTTTGTGCTTGAAGTTGATGGAATTAAGTATTTGGTACTTTTTGCTTCTAATATCCTAAATCTAAATTTCTGTCAAGTACTTTATTGTGGTTATTTCTGGTCACTTTTTTTTTCTTTTTTTAAGCAATAAAATTTTTTCACATACTTGTCTATTATATAAAAAAGAGATTAATTAGATGCATTCCTATTATGTGTAGATAGATGATGTCTGTGTTAAGATAAAAGTGACAGGTCATGGAAAGATTAAACTGTTTGAATGATTCACTTTCAATCAGGCTAGTTAAATGGCAAAACACTCATTTCCATGTCTGACAAACATCTGAAAAGAGCAAGACAAAATTTGATGAATGCCTTGGCATTCTTCCGGCCCTAAATTGACTTATATACATTTCTCAAATCAATCACAATAAAACCATATATTGATGGTACACTAAACAACTGTTGCTCAATTGAATCAGAAGTTCATCAAGCAAATGAACGACATCTATATTAGTGCATTAGGCTGGGTTCTCTGGAGAAGCAAAACCAATACAACTTATATATACATATGTTGTTGTTGTTGTTATGAGCCGTCGAGCCGACCCGACTCATAGCGACCCCTCCTTGGGGTTCCAAGGCAGTATCACTATAGAAGTAGATTGCCCAACCTTCCTTCTGAGGAGTGGCTGGTGAGTTTGAACTGCCAGCCTTCTGGTTAGCAGTCAAGTGCCTTAGGCACT